GCAACTTAATGAAAGCAAAGATTGATCTGGCTGGTAAAATATGATAGCTCACATGGGCATTTTGCTTGCTTTTTTTCAAGTCTGGTATAACAGAATTATAAACTATATCATGACAATTTAACATCAAAAATAATAAAGCTGGTTGCCAGTAGTGACATTTTTATAGTTACATCTGCAATTTGAAAAAAAAATAAGTAACTTCCAGGAAATAATGAAAGCTCCATTTTCCATGGACTGCATTTTATATATAAATCCATATATATATATATATCCATATATATCCATATATATATATATCCATATATATCCATATATATATATGGATTTACGATACCCAAGAAAAGTTATAATTCTGTTCCGTGTTGATCTACACAAACCAAGCACATGATCACTTTAGGCAGCTCGTATCATGGAGGCTTCCGTGATGTGAATGGACTGTGTTGATCGAGTTGCTCAATATTAATTAGTAAACTGATTCATCTCTATTTCTCCTCGTATCATGTAGGCCTGGTGCACTGGGTTTCAAAGATTCCGCTATGGGAATTTATGAGATCTTGGCTTCAGAGCCCTGATGTGGAATGGGGTCTCCATGTGGGAGGCTCAGATTCTCTGCTCTTATCGTGTAATTTAACATTAGGGAGGCTGGCTACTGAGGCGCCTTCGTGGAGTGCTGAGAGCACTCGGGGGATGGGTTGGGTTGGTGCATGAACCTTGGCGGGGGATTAGAGCCCTGACCCCAGGCAGGTGCTTCCAAGGTGTGTTGTGGGATGGGAGGAGGGCGAGTGAAGGAATGGGAACTGTGACTCTACAGGTAAGCTCATGGTAGGAAGATGGTCAAAATGTGTGCCCAAATGGGAATTCAAAGTGCCACTCCATGGAGCTCTGTTTCCACTTAAGATGTAGAATCTGGCAAAATAACATCACTCCCACCCTTGCAGTGACAGGAAGCAAAATGTAACTTGGCTGGAGCCTGTTAGAGGGGTCACAAGGCCACCATTGTAAAGAGGCTGCAGTCCCTCCAAGTCCCACCTTTGGCAGTGCAAGGTGGAGAGATGACCCCCAGAGAAGGTCAGAATAAAGCAGTGTTAGCACATACCTAAAGGCCAAGTGTAGGCCAGCACACCACGGAAGAGCCAGAGGCACAGACACAAGGAGAGTCCCCACTCGCTTGAAAGCTGTCACTCACAGGCCTCTCAGCTAGTTACAAGGGAGGTGGACAAGTCTGAAGACTGAGGAGCCCCTCATCTGTGGATTTGCAGAAGTGAGTAGGTGCCTCTAGGGGCTTACATAGAGGCTGCCCACACCCCTTTTCTCTTACCAAGCAAAAGTTATATGTAAGCTGGGAGTAAACACTTAACCCAGAGCCCAGGCAAAGACCCTGCTAGGAACTGAAAATTCATGTTCTGAGTCTTTTTTTTTCCACCCAAACAAACCTTTTCTTTAAGAAATACAAACTTCATGCATTTTCTAAGTACAACTTTAGGAATATAGTGATTCTTCCCACCATGTCTGTCCTCCTACCACTCCTTCTCCCATTCCCAGTCCCATTCTCCACTAAGATCCATTTTTAATTAGCTTTATACACTAAGAAGGCCAACTCTATGCTAAGTGAAGAGTTCAACAATTTCATATGTTGAGTTTTAAACCCTCCATGTGACAGTATTAAGAGAAGAAGCCTTTGGGAGATAATTAGGCGATGAGTGTGATGTTGGCATGAATGAGGTTAGTGCCCAGATAGGGGATAAGAGAACAGAGCTCTACTCTCTCCACCATGTGAGGATACGACAAGACAGCCATCTGCAGAACAGGAAATGGGCTCTTACCAGCCACAGAATCTTCTGGTGCATTGATCCTTGAACTTGTCAGCCTTCAGAACTGTGAGTGATAAGTGTCTGTTGTTTCAGCCCCTCGTCTGAGGCATTTTGTTACAGCAGCCCAAGCTGATGGAGACAGGAACTTGAGGTGTGAAAACAAACCCACTGCCTATGAGGAGGCATGGGAAACCTCCTGTCCCCAGGATGCAAGCAGCATTTTATGGTTTCTCTGGGAGAGGGAGCAGCGAAGCATTCTTACACCCACCTTCTTAAGTCCAAGATCGTACACCTGCACAGTACAGAAGTCTGCCATTGCAGCGGAAGGACAGACACTCTCCTCCCTGACCCAGATCCAAAACAGTATTCAGTGCTAGTGGAAGGAAGGACAGGGACAGTAAAGAAGTCCACTTCCCAGACGGTCCAACTGCAGGGATAACAGAGAGTCCTCATTGCCCCCACCCAGTGCTACACAAAATGCAGATTGTGGCAGCCCCTGTGGGGGAGGCGGGAGGCCCAAGAGAGACCCTCTCTGTAGCACAGGTGTCTGGAGATTTACAGGAAGCTGGGGCAGAGCAAACCCTTCCAGCATGTCATTCTTCTCTAGACACAGGGAGCAGCAGCCCACACTTTATGCATTTGGAATGTGCACACTGAAAGCAGCCAAAAAACAAACACACATGGAGCTCTACTCCCACTGGATTGACTTAATGCTCCCCAAAGCAAGACAGAAGAGGTGTGTACATTTCGCAGTCTAAACACTACTGACCACTGCCTTTATTGTTCTGCCTTATGATGTCCAACACACAGACAAAAATTAGCAGACACACTTAAAGGCAACAAAAATATCTTCATAGTGAAAGGAGTTGCCACTTCAATGCTTAATATAGAAAAAAAGATTGCTTGATGTTTATTTTTAGCTTATTTAACTTAAAACAACTTAAAAGCAAGGATTTTGTATTTTCTGCATTAATTGCACTGTCTTGTGATTTTATGTATTCAGTGACTGTTTAGTAAATTTACACTTTTGAACTTTCATCTGTGATGAAACTGCTCCATATTCAAGAAACTCAGCTTGGATCAGTTAAAGTAATCTATGTCTCTGTGCTTGTACTTATGTAATGACTGATACACTCCCAAATTTGGGGCATCTTAAAATAAACTAGTCAATAAGTTTAATAGATCAAAACCAAAAAGGGAAATACTCTTACTGTGAGGTATAGTATAGTTATTGATACAGTATGATGCATAAAAATGAAATTTGATTCTGAGTTTAGCAGCCAAGGCAAAAATCTAATCTTAGTAGACTAAATTATCATAAAAAATGTTGCTTCTAAGATCCTTTAAAGAGATAATGTTTTCCTGAGATCACATCCTAAAAGAATAGTGTTAGATCTTATGCAAATGGCTTGGGAGATGGTGTTATTTATTCACTCACCCATTTATCCATTTGATGAATGTTTATCAACCAACAGCAAGCGCCTGTGTTAGATTTTGGGGACAAGAGGCCATAGTCAAAGTTTCTGCTCCCTGGAAACGTTCAATCTAGTCATTAATAAGACCAATATGCTTTGATTACCAAACAAGTAGGAGTGACCTCGGTTACAAATGTTGAGAAACTCAGCCAGGGTTCTTGCTGTTACAGAAGTGCAAAACATTATGACACAAGAGGAACTATTGGAGGTTATCTGCAGGCCAAGTTAGGATTTTCCTCAAGATTAAGCTTTGGATTTATCCACATATTTATGTAAGAGTTCACCTGAGACTGTGGCACTCTGACACTATGTGTGACAAAGATGGTCTTCACTGAGAAATGAGTCATTCATGTAAGTCAAATGCACTCAGCTGTCTCCCAGAATGTCTGAATCTGCTCTCCCGATTGTCTGATAAGATGAATTACTGGTGATCATTTCTGTATTAAACTACGTTAGCAATGAAAGATTCAAGGGCAGTGCTTCAGAGTATCTTGTTTGTGGACTTAGGACATAGCAGCTCATGTAGGATAAACAGCTGTTACACAGAACAAATTGAACTTGATATTTTGATTAGTATAAAATAAAGAAGGGAATTAGTACTTTTGACTTTGGGATGTTATGTTTGCTTTTTTTTTTTCCTTCTCTTCCTCTGTTTCTCTCAACAGTTCTGAAGACTGTGACAGGAACTCGGTGGTCACTGCTGTGGTTTGAAAGTGTCTCCTGAAAGTACACATGTTGAACACTTAATCCCAAGTTCACATTTATGGTGCTGGGAAGTAGTTTCCTCTGGGAGGCCGTTAGGGCTAGGTGAGGTCATGAGGGTGAGAGTGGGGCTCCCACCAAGGCACTCATGGTTTATGAGAAGAGAGACCTGAGCTGGCACAGGTGGCTTGTCTCACAGCTGACACTCTCTGCTATATCACGATGCAGCCAGGGGGCCCTCACCAGATGCTGAGCAGGTACCACAGCTATGCCCCGGGACTTCCCAGCCTCCAAACTGTGAGCCCAAAAGCCTTCTATTCTTGATCCATTATGTGGTCAAAGGGATTTTGTTGTAACAATAGGTACTGGACTAAGACAGTAACTAGGTGGGACTTGATGCCCAGGGACAGAGGTATCACAAACCATTCATAAATCCATAAAAACAAACCAATTGCCAGTCATTAGAACCCATTTGCCAGTTGCCATAGACCATTTACCAGTCCTCAAGAAACTTTCGGAAAATATCTTGCTATGCAAATTGTTCTTCAATTGGCATGGCACAGAATCATTAAGATTCACAAGTCTAGGAAGAAAATGGCTTATAACAGTATTTGTCCCTGGATGGATGACCTCTGGCTAGAACTATTTTGAATCAGTTCGTTGTCTCCAGAAGGAGGTGCCTAAGAAAAGTGTGCAACTTACAGTCATTGGCATACTCTAAGAACTTAGATATTCATCAAGAAAAAGGACGCCAGAGATATGTTGGACCACATAGTCATCTCACACCAACACATGAACACATTTTTTCTTTCAAAGCCTAGATTTTTTCCATAGTGCCCCCAAAATATCACAACAATTGCTTTTGGAACTTTTAAAGGGAACTTTTTGCCTTAATCAAGACCTTTTATCGCTTCAGAGAGTAAAATTTCCAATGCGACAGCAGCACAAACTTTATTATGGAAGCAGATGGCTATCTACAGAGCTTCTGGAATGTCCCCTGGGGTGAGTTTATCAGGGAACTAGTCATCAATAACTCATTTTGCTTATTTTAGTTCAAAGAAAATTTTAGGAATTTCACATGAGCTTTTATTTATGCAGCACTTTGCCAATGAACTCATATGGTAGTCGCTTTGTGCTTCCTGGAGGATGAGCTGGTTTTAATTCAGCAAAGTGAATGGAAACATCCAGATGTTCCCTCTATGAACATTGAAGCAGAAAGGAGTTTTGCAAAGTAACTTTTCCAAAAACAGATTGTAATTTCCAGAAACAATTGTTAGAACTCCAGCCAATGACTGAAAACTTTTCCTCCAGATGATATGAAAGTATCAATTGCTGCATGGATTTTTGATCTTTAAGGTGTTATAATTTTGAAGTTCCTGAAAATGAACATTGTTATATTACTAAACTCTAGAGTGTATTCAAATTTCAACATAGTTTCCTACTAATGTTCTCTTTCTCTTCCAGGATTCCGCCCTGGACAACACACTGCATTTGGTTGTCATATTCCCTTGGTTCTTCTGGTGAGTGACAATTTCTCTGTCTTTTCTTATTTTTCATAACCCTGACCTTTTTTTTTAAAAAAAGATTTATTATTTATCTGAAAGTCAGAGATACACAGAGAGAGAAGGAGAGACAGAGAGAGAAAGAGATCTTCCATCCGCTGGTTCACTCCCCAGTTGGCTGCAATGGCCGGAGCTGCACCAATCCGAAGCCAGGAGCCAGGAACTTCTTCCAGGTCTCCCACACGGGTGCTGGGGCCCAAGGACTTGGGCCATCTTCTACTGCTTTCTCAGGCCACAGCAGAGAACTGGATCGGAAGTGGAGCATCCACTTCCCCTATGGTGCCCATAGGGGATGCCGGCACTGCAGGCAGCAGTTTTACACAACATGCCACAGCGCCGGCCCCAACCCTGATCTTTTTGAGGAGCGGCAGTGAGGTGTTTTAAGAATATCGCTTGATTTGGGTTTGTGTGATCTTCTCGTAGTTGGACTGGGATTATGAGTTTCTGGAAAGAGTATCCCAGAGGAAAAGGGTCCTCCCACATTTCTTATTGGGGGTGCATGATGCCTACACGGCACTGCTGGTGATGTAACCCTCAACGCCTGGTGCAGATAGCATTTGCCAGCGTCTTCACTGCAAACCCACTTTTCTTGTTCTATTTTTGAGTGTTTGGGAGTGACTCACTAAGCCAGCCCACTCTCTACTGAGGGCGAGTAAGCTCCGCCTTCCGAGTACAGGGGATATCTACAGAGGCTACTTGTTAAAGGGTTTATCTCTTCCCCTCCATCAGTTTGCATGTTCAACACTTTCCCATACAATCCTGAACTCATGTCCTTTGTACTCTGTCGCACATGTTGTCCCGGCTCTGGCCACTGGGATCTCTTTCAGGGTGGCTTCTGGTACTCGTCCCTTTGGGTTTTGTTTCCTGTTTCACAGATGATGCCCAAGGCATGCCCTGCATATGCCCTGTCTTAGGCCCAGAATCAACCATTTTTTTCCTCCCAGAACTCAGGTTTCTTTTATTTAGAAATAATACTCAGAAACCAAGGCCTGAGTCCCAGGTGTGCTCACAGCTGCCAGGTCGTCTTGTCTCCAGACTTCCTCAGCAGATAGGCATAATCTCTGGAGTGCTTAGATTCTAACAGGCTTCATTTTTATTATTTTTAATAAAGATTTATTTTTTTATTTGAAAGTCAGAGTTACGGAGAGAGGAGAGAGAGAGAGAGAGAGAGAGAGAGAGAGAGAGAGTGTCTTCCTTATGCCGCTTCACTCTCCAGATGGCCTCAATGGCCAATGCTGGACCAAGCTGAATCCAAGAGCCAGGAGCTTCATCAGGGTCTCCCACGTGGGTACAGGGGCCCAGCACTTGTGCCATCTTCTGCTGCTTTTCCAAGCCATTGGTAGGGAGCTGGATCAGAAGTGGAGCAGCCAGACATAAACCAGTGCCCATATGAGATGCCAGCCTTTCAGGCAGTGGCTTTATCTGCTATAACACAATGCCAATCCCTCTAATAGGTTTTATTTTTATTTATTTATTTTAAAGATTTATATTTTATTTGAAAGGCAGAGTTACAGAGAGAGAGAGAGAGAGAGCGAGAGAGAGAGAGGTCTTCCATCTGCTAGTTCACTCCCCAGATGGACACAATGGCCAGAGCTGGGCCAATCTGAAGCCAGGAGCCAGGAGTTTCTTCCAGGTCTCCCATGCAGGTGCAGGGGCCCAAGCATCTTCCACGTCTTTCCCAGGCTGTTAGCAGAGAGCTGGATTGGAAGTGGAGCAGCCGGGCAATATAGGATGCTGGCTCTGTTGACGACAGCTTTACCCACTATGCCACAACACCGGCCCCTCTAATAGGTTTTTTTAAAATATTTTTATTTATTTATTTATTTGACAGAGTTAGACAGTGAGAGAGAGAGAGATGGAGAGAAAGGTCTTCCTTCTGTTGCTTCCCCTCCCCGCCAAATGGCTGCTACAGCCAGAACTACGCCAATCCGAAGCCAGGAGCCAGGTGCTTCCTCCTGGTCTCCCATGTGGGTGCAGGGCCCAAGCACTTGGGCTATCCTCCACTGTCCTCCCGGGCCACAGCAGAGAGCTGGACTGGAAGAGAAGCAACTGGGACTAGAACCCAGCTCCCATATGGGATGCATGCGATGCTGGCACCGCAGGCGGGGGATTAACCAAATGAACCATGGCACCAGCCCCTTTAATAGTTTTTTTTTTTTTTTTTTTTGACAGGCAGAGTGGACAGTGAGAGAGAGAGACAGAGAGAAAGGTTTTCCTTTTGCCATTGGTTCACCCTCCAATGGCTGCCATGGCCGGCGCACCGCGCTGATCCAAAGCCAGGAGCCAGGTGCTTCTCCTGGTCTCCCATGGGGTGCAGGGCCCAAGCACTTGGGCCATCCTCCACTGCACTCCCTGGCCACAGCAGAGAGCTGGCCTGGAAGAGGGGCAACTGGGACAGAATCCGGCGCCCCGACTGGGACTAGAACCCGGTGTGCCGGCACCGCAAGGCGGAGGATTAGCCTACTGAGCCACGGCGCCGGCCTCTAATAGGTTTTAAATTGACCTCACTTAAGAAGTGTTAGCCATACATATGTGAAGTTCCAGATTCCTATTTCTTATCATTTCTCCACCTTTTTCCTTCCATCTCTTTCAGAAACTGTCTTTGCTCCCTTAAGCTCCTCCTCTTGCAGTCTCTTATGCCTTCTTCAAAACCTTTCTTTCCTACCTCCCTTTATCTTTTTAGGAGCAAAATAATCTGGTTGAATGAATTTTTCCTTAGAAGTGGATGACTGAAATGAGCCTAATGAAATGGGTGGTTCTCAGAATTGTCTGTACAATAAATCAACCACTGGTCTGTTAAAAGTAAAAGTACTTGGGCCTCTCATTCCAGAATGAATGGGAATCTTGGTAAGTGTGTGTGTGTGTGTATATGGGGGGAAATGCTATGACCTCCATAATTTTATAACTCATTGTGTTCTGTGACTATATTCCAACTGACATCCCTTTAAGGACACAAAGATTATTAGTGTAAGTGTATTGTATATCCATTAACTTATCTATCATGCATTCACATATATATATGTATATACACACACACACACACACACACACACACACACACACATTTCCAGCTACTGAAAAATCCGTATCAGCTCTTTTCTAAATAAACCCCCTTTGGTTCAAACACAGGATGTGCTCATTATTCTTCCTTTTCTCTCTCTCCCTACTCACCTGTGGCCACTTCTCCACTCTTCCTGCTGAGTCCTGGGAGCTCTGCCCCCTAAGGTTCCTACTGACTATCTCCCAGGCACAGCAAGAGGATGGAGAGCAGGTGGAGAAGAGACTTGGTTTTCTCCCCTCCACCTTCCCTGCACCAGCATTGTAGTTTAAGGTCACAGCTGTGGCTCTTCAAGATTGTGGCTACGGTGTTCCTATTGTGTTTTTTATTTATTTATTTGACAGGTAGAGTTATAGACAGTGAGAGAGAGAGAGAGAGAGAGACAGAGACAGAGACAGAGACAGAGACAGAGAGAAAGGTCTTCCTTCCATTGGTTCACTCCCCAAATGGCCACTATGGCTGGTGCTGTGCCAATCTGAAGTCAGAAGCCAGGTGCTTCCTCCTGGTCTCCCATGCGGGTGCAGGGCCCAAGCACTTGGGCCATCCTCCACTGCCTTCCCGGGCCACAGCAGAGAGCTGGACTGGAAGAGGAGCAACCGGGACTAGAACCTGATGCCCACATGGGATGCCAGTGCCACAGGCGGAGGATTAACCAAGTGAGCCATGGTGCCAGCCCCCTGTGTTCTTTCTCACGCTTCCTCCTTCAAGGCCATAATGCCTTCTTCAGCTGGCCCGTTGCTGGGTACCTCAGGGTCTTTGATGTTGCCGCACCTCTAACAAGCCGCTGCATTGAAATCTCGTCCAGCGGCCCCACTGAGGGAACTTGTTTCCTGCTGCAGCTCCGGTGCACAAAGGCCTTAGGCAGGCCTCTTCTAACGGGGGTAGAGGGGGCAAGAGAGAAACTTGCTATGGTGGTGGAGGAGCCCAAGCATCAGGGCTTTGTGAAGAGTGAGCTGCCTGCGTGTTACAGAAGCACAGTTTTTTTCTTAGTGTTTAGGGATGGGAGTGAGATTTCTTGTCCAGTTTGTAATGGCAGTAGACCCCTTATCAGACTTACGGTTAAATCAGCAAGGAATCTGGTCTAGCATTTCTAATGGCATTATCTCAGGATAACCCACTGTGGGATCCTTGGGATTAGGAAATTGGCCCGGGACCCTCTTCTCAGTCCCTCTTTGCATTGGAATGCTTCTGGGAAGATACGGTCTTGGGAATCTCAGCCATATTTTGCTGAAGGGGCCAATCAGAGTCATGGGTGTTGGCTTTGAATTTCTGCAAGATACATTGTCACCCTTTCCACGAATTGCTTTATTTGATTCTCTTTCTGATTATCCTGCCCACTGGAGGCGAGACGGGATTGTTTTCATGCATTTCCCAACTTTGCGGTCAAAGTACAGTTCAGTCAATCCAAACAGATGGGAGCAGCACGCACTGGCAGCCAGGCACTCCAGGGCCAGGTTTTTGATCCATTTGTTTCTTCTTTCTGCCACCTTACAAAAAGACAGTGCATATTTGACCTGTTTTGGATTCTAGTCTCTTAGGGGTTCTTACTCCTTTTCTGCTAGCCCCGTGACTGCATTTCCAGGGTGTTTTCTTCCTGGTCCCCTTCTGTCATTTGACCGTCATTTGACTATTCACTGGATTTTCTTTCTTGAAAACTGAAGTCTGGGAAGCCACTAGTCACTGCTGGATCTGAAGGTCATTTCCAATCACAAATTAGAACTGAACTGGAGCATGGCCAAATATAATCCGAGTCCCAACACCAGCCCTTGTATCATGTGGCACAAGATCATTATTTACTCTCTCTCTCTCTCTCCATATATAAACATATATTCTATAGCGTGATCTGCTTCATGTGAAAACATGTGTGATTAGATACTGCAGCTATCAACAAACCCAAAAT